TTCCTGCCTGAGCAGGGGGTTGGACCAGATGACCACCAAGGTCCCTTCCAACTTTTATTATTATTTTCTTCACCTTTCCTTTGCTTTACAGACCTGTGAAGATCATAAACGCAAGAATTGGTCGTAAAGTTACTTTTGCATCACCATCATAACTATGAACAGTCACTAAGCGACATAGTCACTAAACGAGGACCACCTGCATTGGGGTTTATGAAAAAGAAATGCACTTTTCTCAGCTAAGCCATAGGACTCTTATATTGAACAACACAGTTTAAGATCCTCAAACTGTGCAGGAGAAAAATCATTTTAATCTATGGTAGCTGAAAATCAGAAGGAGTCAGTTTCTTGTTGAGTCTGAAATTGAAAATAAAGTAGATGGGCTCCTGCTTAACCATCTGGCTAGCTTGGGTGTTTCTTACTGATCCCTCAGTGGTTTAACTTGCATAGACTGGTTTAAAATATGTTGTCTGTCTATTGTTCTGCCTGTCTATGAATCCGTCTGTCTTTCAATCTATGTCTATCTATCACTGTCTATTTCTGTCTGTCTGTCTGTCTGTGTGTCTCTCTCTCTGTGTGTCTCTCTCTGTCTCTCTCTGTCTCTCTGTGTCTGTCTGTCTGTCTGTCTGTCTGTCTGTCTCTCTTTCTCTCTCTTTCTCTCTCTCTCTCTCTCCCTCCCTCCCTCCCTCTCCCTCTCCCCTTACTTTCATGTTTTGTAAACCAATTATCCAGAAAGCTCATAAAATCAGACAAAATAGCCTGATTCCAGGTTGGATCAGTCATGGAGCAGATTAGCTAAAATCAATGGGACAGGTAGGTCATTTGCTACTAATTTAAAGCTCATTGTTTTTAGTGGATCTGCACTCTATGGATTCAACCCAGCATTCTTGCTCTTGGGGTCTATGTGTAGATCAAAATAAAAATTCGAAATAGTGTTTTTAGCTTTTATGGGATCTTTCTGTTCTTCTCTTTTTCAAGGAGCTGCACATGAATTTGCCTGATATTGTAGAAGATATTCTAAAATCACACGACACTACCAAGGTAAGAAAGAGCATCTGCATTTTATTATCCCTGATAGTATGACTCGAGAAATCAGTGCAGAAGTAGCTTCAAGAAACTGAATTGGCCTCTGAGACGGACAATAGTGAAGCTGAGTCAAGCTGGGGAGTTGACTAGTGCCTGGAAAGGTTATTTACTGTAAATTTGATCTGCATGGTATCCTTTGCCAAGAGAAGCTGGAGAGAATAAAAAGCATTAAAAGAGATCATTTATTTACTTTCATTTATTTGACATTACTTATAAGGTGGCAGAAATCCACCGAGCTAATGAATGCAATTACACTTGCTGTTTACAACTATAGTAAAATTATAGAACAGTTATTGTTAAATATGTTTTAAAAATTGGTCCTTTCCATCCACTGGGCTTTTTTTTGTTGTTCCAGTTTCTGGAAGCTCCTGAATATGAAAAAGGGGCAGCTATTCTTTTAAAGATATTAAAAGTAGAAAAACATGTTTCCTTTTTATTCTATTATTTTTCACAGCTTCACATGATAGTCAATTAGTTTGTTACCTTTGTTATGGCTATTCAGCCAACTACCCCAAAATTTCAGTGAGAATAGTTTCCCTGAAACTCCTCACCATCCAGCAAATCTAATCCTGAATAGAATAGAATAGAGTAGAGTACAGTAGAGTACAGTAGAATAGGAATAGGAATAGGAATAGGAATAGGAATAAGATCAGGGCTGGAAGGGACCTTGGAGATCTTCTAGTCCAGCCCCCTGCTCGAGCAGGAGAACCTATACCATCTGAGACAGGTGAATGTCTAGCCTCTTTTTAAAAACTTCCAGCGATGGGGCGGCCACGATTTCTGGGGGTAAGCTGTTCCACTGGTTGATTGTCCTCACTGTCAGGAAGTTTCTCCTTAATTCCAGGTTGCTTCTCTCTTTGGTCAGTTTGCAACCATTCTTTCTCGTCCTGCCCTCTGGTGCTTTGGTGAACAACCTGGCCCCCTCTTCCTTGTGGCAGCCCCTCAGATACTGGAACACTGCTATCATGTCTCCCCTGTTTCTTCTTTTCTTTAGACTAGCCAAACCCAAGTCCCGCAGCCATTCTTCTTTTAGTCTCCAGGCCTTTGATCATCTTAGTTGCTCTTGTCTGAATTTTTTTCAAACTCTCAACATCGTTTTTGTGACATGGTGACCAAAATTGGCTGCAGTATTGCAGGTGTGGTCTTACTAGGGCTTTGTAAAGCGTTACTAGTACTTCACATGATCTTGATACTATGCCTCTGTTTATACAACCCAGGATTGTATTAGCTTTTTTGGTTGTTGCCGCACACTGCTGGCTCATAACAGCCAGTGTACATAAATCCTGTTTAATTGACACTGGGTCAACTTGATTGACAGACAATAGATATGTACAGTATATTTGGGCTATTTGTTAAGAGATACTTGTTAGTAAGCACAGAAGGAAAATGTATAATTATTTGTAGACCTGTGGTGGCACAGTAGTTAGAATGCAGTATTGCAAGCTAATTCTGCCGACTGCCAGCAGTTCGATTCTCACTGACTCAAGGTCGACTCAGACTTCCTTCCAAGGTCGGTAAAATGAGGACCCAGATTGTTGGGGGCCAGAGGCTGACTCTGTAAACCACTCAGAGAGGGCTATAAAGCACTATGAAGCAGTATATAAGTCTAAGTCCTACTGGTATTGCAAAAAAGGGAGGGGATCCTATTAGATTTGTTTGAGATACAGGTATCAACCGGGATGGAGGTTGTATGTTTCCTGTTAATTTTATATTTATGATACACATTTTTTCTTTTTTATTTGTGCGTGTCTTGTTTGTAACTCTTTGGGGGGTGGGGTTTCAATTCTGTAGTTTGTATTCTATCTTTGGGGAAAAAATAAACACTTTTATTAGGGGGGGGGGGAAACCCCCTCTGTTTAACTGACATGGCTCGCAGCCAGAAAAACCTAGATGGATAGTTTGAGAAAGTCAGAGTTATTGAGAGTAGTTGCAGATCTGTCATTCTCCAGGGAAATCATGATCCAAACCAGCTTCAAATCTACAGATAGAACAGATTAATTCTTGGTTCGAAGCCTTCCTTTATTTTCCTTGAAATATCCATTTTAGTTTGCCTGGGAGAGATGGTGTGTGTGTGTGTGTGTGAGAGAGAGAGAGAGAGAGAGAGAGAGGGAGAGGGAGAGGGAGAGGGAG